TCCCACCTCACGGCACGAGAGATCTTCGCTTAGGGGTGGGAGAGCTGGCTAATCCAGGAAAGTGTCCGTGTGGATGTTCTGGCGGGAGTCGCGGCCGATCTGGCCAGAGTCCCCGAATTAGATAGGTCAGAATGCCTCGAATCGAACGTCAAGCTAGGCCTGCTATGAGAAGGCTGCTCAGAGTAGGATTTGATTGATTCCACACATGCCTCCCAGGACCTCAAAGCGGGGCGTGGGGACCCTGAGGCCCCGCCTGGTCCCCCTGCTCCTCGTCCTTGTCCTCCTCCTTTTCCTCCTCCTCCTCCTCCTCCTCCTCCTCCTCCTCCTACACCTCCTCCGCCACCTCCTCCTCCTCCTCGTCCTCCTCGTCCTCGTCCTCCTCCTCGTTCTCCTCCTCCTCCTCCTCCTCCTCCTCCTCCTCCTCCTCCTGCTCCTCGTCCTCGTCCTCGTCCTCGTCCTCCTCCTCCTACACCTCCTCCTCCTCCTCCTCCTCCTCGTCCTCCTCCTCCTCCTCGTTCTCCTCCTCCTCCTCCTCCTGCTCCTCGTCCTCGTCCTCGTCCTCGTCCTCCTCCTCCTCCTCCTCCTCCTCATCCTCCTCCTCCCAAAGGTCTGGCACGCTGTGCGTCTGCCCACGCCCTGACCGAAAACGCAGAGCGTGCTCGGTGCGCTTTGGATCAGCCTCGAAAGACACGGAGCCCAAATGGCTGCTTGCGTCCCTCCTCTCCCTGTGAACTTCTGTGGGACGCACAGAGACAGACTAATACTATATGTCCTCCTTGGAGGCGCGCGTCCGACCCAAACATATAGTGTACCCATATCGTAGTATATCGCTTCCCGAGCGGTGTGGCCAGAAAACGTCCGCCACGACGGATACACTGTAAGATTTCTCGGTGTGCGCGTCGCCCCTCGGGGGGGCGACGCACATATAGTATAAGTATGTTGGGGTTGTGCCGATTCTAAGTGATCCCGGGTCCCGACCGGACGGAATTTATACTCGGCGCGTGGCTGGACGCATCCCTCCCACGCCCTTCGGCATCACAGAGACCGTGGACCCTGGCTTTGTGGGCCGTGCTGTTTTTGGGGGTCAGGCCCAGCGCAGGGGCTTAGGTAATCCTTGTTCTCTAATTGCTGGGCTCAACAATTGTTTAAACACTACGTGATGACGGAAATCCTAGAATTCCTCCTCTTCCGCATGAGCTTCACCCCTCCATGTTCGGAAGATCCTTCAGCTCATCATCCACGTCCTTCTCCTCCTCGTTATCCTGATCGACATTATCATGTTCCTCCCACTCCTCTTACGCCTCCTGCCCCCCTTCTTTCGCATGCTGTATGCTCAGAGAGTGCAATGTCTTCTCCTGGATAGGAAAGCAAGGGAAAACCAGTGCAGGGCTACTCTCGGAGCCATGGCGCACTCAACGTGTCGCAAGCTCATCCCTGCGCACTCCTGTTTTCGTCGTCGATGTCGTGGTCGTTGTCGCTACGCATCTTGATTTCATATCGTCATCGCCATCCACATAATGTTCCACATTCTCCACATTATCCTCCTCCTCCTCCTCCACCTTCTCCCATTTCAAGCTTCGAGACGGATATTGTTCCTTCAGGTGTTCGCCCGTCTCCTCCTCCATGTTTCTACACTACCATTTGCTTGTCTAACCATATGTAGTGTTGGGTCCTCGTTTGAGTCAGCAGCGCCCCGCAGCCCACTCCTCCCTCCTCTCCTTCTTCCCTCCTCTAATCCATGCCGCTCCGCGTGTCCACCAGCCACCATTCGGTGCACCCCTCAGGCACTTCGTGGCCCCATATGAAGCCACACCGATAGCCCCAGCGGGAAAGTTGGCATGGCGGCGCCGAACTCATTTCGGCACCCCCCTCGCACGGCTCGTGGCCCCGTGGAGAGCCCCACCGACGAAGGCCCCCTTGGGAAAGTTCGCATGGCGGTGACGCACCCAGTTTCGGCACAACCCTCACACACTCCGTGGCCCAATCATAGGTAGCCGCTCCGAAGGCCGCACTTGGCAAGGTCACATGCTGGCACCTCACCCACGTCGGCACACCCCTCACAAGCTTCGTGGCCCCATGGGGAGCCCCAAAGAATGCTCCAATGGCCATGTTCGCATAGCGGCGCCGCGCGAAATTCCGGTACCGCGCCACGCGCGCGGGCCTGCACACAAGCAGAGCACAACGCAAGTCGTGGCCGACTGCGGCGAGGGAGGAAGATAAAACAGGGCTAGGATCGGGATAAATCGCTCCAGAGCGTTCTGGAGCGCTCTCAGAGCGTTCCGGAACGCTCTGGAGCGGCCGCGGCGACCAATACATCCTCCAAACCCGCCGATTCTCAGAGATTTCCAGGTATCTCGATCCGATTTTGTCCCGATCTTCGCGTCGTTTTAGAAGAGCACCCCCACTCGAGTCATCCCAGCAGGCGGCCTCTCCACCACCTTTGCGTGGGGAAGTGAGCCGTGCGACCACCAGAACGCTCCGCTTGCCAGAATGACGCCAGCCCCTGCCAGGCAGAGCCACGCGGCGCCGGCCCCAGAGGTCTCCCCGATGGGGTCCGAGGAGACGGGGTTGGGCCAGTGAGAATCGTTTATCCGACCCCATCCTCAGCGGCGTGGCCGGGGCCCCACCGGCCGATTTACCCCCCTAGATGGGGATGTAGGCCGTTCCCTTCGGGCTTCGAGGGGTGTATCCCCAAGTGGGGTGGCAATTCGGTGGGGGTCTCGAAGGGGATGGGGATGGGGATGGGGATCGTTTCAAGGAAGGTTTTTGGAAGGTTTCTGGACGGTTTTTGTTGAAAAAGGTTCTTGTGAGGTTGTTGGAAGGTTTTTGGGACGGTACTTTGGAAGGCTTTTGGAA